GGGAACTACGCATAGTGCTAAGGGGAAAACAACAATGACAACAACAAAAACCTGCCAAGTCCATTAGACCCCTCCAAAGCTTACAAGGCAGCTAGGAAGATGAGTAAATGAAAGCATTTTCTGACAAATATTTCATGATTGTTATGGTCTGTCTTATAAAAAAAGCTCTCAGCACTCTGCTGAGGACAGACACCTCACCCTCATCTACAACATGTGTATACACAAGTGACTGTGTATGCCCTGCGCTCTTTGCGCCAACTTTGACCAACTGAAAACTTATATGATTTTATCTTTTACTTCAGTATTCATCTGGAAATAAGAGATGGCCAAAATGTGCTGTTTAAGTTTCTTCTGGAAGAAAATAAATTCTCATTTTTAGCCAATATTTCATAAAATTAAGTAAGCATCCCAGCAGGCCATATTCAGTGACAGAGTTGACAACCAGATCTGATCCTCAAATCTTTTTCCTACCAACGCAGTATTTCTAGTAAGAACATTGCATCACTGCAGTGACTCACCCTGCTAGAAAGGCAGTGATGCTCTATTTACTGGTCAAACTCGACAGTTTCATAATCAAAGTCCTTAAACGACACTTTCCTACTATGAAAGCACAATGATCTAAGGACCTAAAATGACCTCCCCATTCCCAACATCCATGATAGGGGATCCAAGTATTTTTATTATCCTACTCCTCCAAAGGAATTCTCCTCTCCCCACCACCCTCTTCCAGATCTTTTCCTACACAGGGTGCAACATTGCTACTGCTCCATCTGAATCAAAACTGGTAAAAGCAGTGATGCCTTTCATTCGGCATTTCACATTTTTTCTTCTAGTGGTGTAGTCTTCAGGAATCTTCCCCTTTTTATTGCACATCATAATAAGAAAGTCAAGAGCTCCTTAGTCCCTTACTTTACTGTAACAGTCCACAGTCATTTGTAGTGTAGTCTGCTTTTCTACTCTACCCCAAAGTGAAGAATGCTTTTGACAAGTCCCAGTAGAACTATGTCTGATGTCATTAGACAAAGGATAAAATTTGGCAAATACTGCAGTTGCCTTTTATATAAGGCTTGCATGGCTTATGGTGACATATTAAAAACAAAATAACTCTAACCGGGAGATTACTTCTTGTATGTTAGAAAAGAAAATGGCAGAAAAGCACAGTTGCAGTTGAGCTCCCGTTATCTCTGCCATGTTGAGGTGATACTGCATAATCTGATCATGAGCGGTTGAACAAACGCTCTTCTATTCCTCAAAGATTATGCAGATTTCTATGGCTATTTCATGACACAGTAGAAATACTCATTTCCTTGCCCTCAGGTTGCTCACTTGCCTTTTCCCTGGGGCTGCAATCTCCTCTAAGACAGAAAGGCTGACATGTTTGCTGCCCCATTTCCCTCAGTGTTGCTCTTGAAAGAAAAGGCAGGATACAGGAAGGAAGCATGTTTAAAATTCCCTGAGAAAGAGTGAAAAAAAAAAAGGGAATATGTTGCAGTATTATCCCGAAGGGGAGAAGGACATTTAAAATGAGGCATTAAAAGGCATTTGGGATATTAAAAGGTGAGGTGCCTAGAAGGGCACTTTTCAAATGTCCCGAAGAGGCACACTGTGTTTGGAAGCTGCTTCCTCACAGGTGCAAGCCTTTACCGTTGCCTCCATAGGTGTAACTCCCTTTCTTTCTGCTTTTCCTTTCTCATCTCCTCTCCCTCTTCATATGCTTACCAAGTCTCTGTTATCAGCCAGAAGAGAAAACTCTCCAGAGCTTCCTGGACTGGTATTCACCTGCTACAAAATAAAATAAATAACACTCATTAGTTAGTCTTTTTTTTTTATTATTATTATTTTCCCCTTGTGGTACATTTTTAAAGTAGCTAAAAGAAACTTCAGGAGAATGGCAAAGGGTTATGCAGAACTCAGTGCAGCTTTTACATAAATCACAAGGCCTTGCTGCATAATTTAAGTGTAATGCAATTCACAGTTCACAGAGAGTCGCCGATACACTGAAATTCATCAAAGTTCAGTTTTCAAGGATCCCTCACTTTGTTTGTTCTGTGATTACCTAGCCCATATTCTCCCCAACCATTTGGTTTAACCACATATTTTAATTACATTCCCGAATAACTTACATTTTTGGCTTTCCATTTCAATTTCCACAGGGCAAATATAACTGATGGAAAGCATTTTGACAAGGGTATTGTTATTTCATCCAGTAGCCTGAGATGACTCCAAATTTGGATATTACATTTAATGTTTCTGGAACAGATGCTGTTAGGTCTTTTCCTCAGAACACAGTATCATCTGCATATGTTAGTAGCTTCTATGCCTCAAGTTGCATATACTTTATATTCTCTTAAGTATCACAGACACCGCTGACTGAGGTACGGGGGCACAAGTTTTCATCACAAACTAAGAGCAGCATCAAAGCAGCAGGGTATGGAAGCTCATGCATCAAAGCAGCAGGGTACCTAATGCATTTATTTTCTGCAACAAACAGTGCAGGGCTGAGACACAGGTTATTGATCTTTGCAGCCCGCTCAAAACAGAGGCCCATGTGTAGAAAAGCTCCGGGCAGAATCTCCCTCCCCAATGGAGAGCTGTAATGCATCAGGCAGGATTCTCCTGAGCCTCAGAAGGAGAAAAAGAGTGTTTCTCTTTTGCTGAACAGCCCAACTCCCGCCCCCTGTGGAGTGAAACACATTGTGACAGAACAGCAATGACGCCCCATTTTTCTTTTATTTTCCCTAAGGAGAAATTGCAGGTTTACATTTGTTCTTAACACCAACTCTGGCAGAAAATATAACACTGGAGAGAGAAAAAAAAAAAGTGAATGTGTGTGTTTCTGTGTGTGTGTGTGAGCATGTATATGTATTTTTTTGGTGACTACAGAGAAACTGCTGATACTGCTTCTTATTCTGGCCTCCACTGTTAGATAATGAGACCTTTTCCATTTACGCAGGAAATCTTCTTGGGCTAGCTAAGATTCTGGAGATGTTTAATTTAGGAAGGCAAATAACCCTTTAGCTACTGCATTTCTCTGAAGAGCTCTGAATCACACCTCTCATTTTAATGATGTTTGATGGTATCTCACCAAGGTCAAAAGATGGGTTCACATAGGACTAAGGCTCAGACACACACACACACATACATATATATATATATATAACATTTTGGTACATAACCCAAAATGTTTTAACCTTTCTGTTGGACAGATAGTGTCTTGAATAATACACAGCTATGTAAATGCTTCGGGACTGAGCTGGGAAGGAGAAGCTGATAAGTATCTCCAGAGGGTGACCTATGTCTACTGTGAAGGCAAACTGCCCGACTCCTCCTCTTAGAAACCTGAAAGCTAGTGCACAAGATCAGCACCTGTTTTTAAGCAACCAGGGTTTTCGGTCAGGTGTTGTCCTTTTGAACCCAGCCGTCTCTCTGCTCTTGACACCACAGACAGGACGTTCACAGCAACCCTGACACCCACCGTGGGGACACGTGTTCGCTGCCTCACTGCCACAGATCCACGGGCAGAGAACTGAGGTGAACACACAGCTGAGGCTCATCACCGTAACAAGCTGAGCAAAAAAAAAGGCAGCAAAAACTCAACTGAATTCTTCAGTGGGAATAAAGGCACTTTAGTCACAATTGTAACAAGTCATTTTTGAGTTTACAACAAAAGAATTTTAATTTAAGAGACTCATGAAGAACTGCATTTCTGATGTGCTTAGACAAAAACAAAATCCTACTTTTGTTGACCTACCTGGTAATTTTTCCAATATTTATGTCCTTTTATATTCAGAAAAAAAAATCAAACCTGCATTAACAAATGATGTTTATGACTTCAAAAACCTTATGATTAAATACACATATAGATGTGCAAACAAAATGGATGTGAAATACAAAACCTATACAGTCACACACATTTCAATACATAAAACTCATCTATCAGAAAACCCCCCATCCTTTCAAAATATGGTTCCTTAAAACAATTACTGCAAAGTTTGAACAGGGAAAAGACATCTCTCTGCTGTCAATGCTGAGAGAGGGATGCAAGGGTTTCTTTAAAACTTATGTACCACCTAACACTTAAAATTCAATCATAAGTTTTTACACCCAATCTACAGGCAAAACATGAACATTCAGTTTGCCTGTGCGTTTGCATGAGCATAGCCATATATATCCATAGTGCTGTGTGGCAGAATTGAAGATGCTTGAGAACAGCCTTAGTTCCTATCCTCAGTGGGACTTACTCTCCTTGCACACCACAGATGTGACACACCAGATCATGACTCAGTGGATAAACCGCTTCTCCAGACTGTCCGTTTTGCTCATTATCACTGTAATTATGTAACAGAATTCTCTGAACATTGTGCCATTACTGGAGTTATTAATCATTCTGGTTCTGTTTCAAGTAGGTGCTTTATCGCCTCCTGGATATATGCTGCATTATGCCACAAACTGAACATCCAAGCTAAATATATCTAAAGCTACTGTTTTAAGGACTTTTCAACATCATTTGTTCTTTCAATTTACAGTTTGATAAATTATAAAAATATAAGAAAAAGTTGGTGTCAGTATAGCTGCTGACCTTTATGACCACAAGTGAAAGGCAGTTCTTGCCAGTAAACAACTTGGCAAATATGAAACCTGTTTTGCCACTGCTCGGAATAAGTCAGCGCTTCAGATGACAGACTCTGCATACAAATCAGCTCATACAGAAAAACACATTCCTAGACATGTTGGAGAATAACAGCAGGATTTCCATAACCTTAGAAGCAGACACCATTCGAAGTATTTATTTAAAGATAAGCTATACCAAAAGAGCAATTTTTCAAAACTGCAAAAACCACAACACAAGCCACTATTCCAGGTTAAAAGTCAATTTTGGAGCATCACTGTAAAAATCGTACAACACTTGCCCAGTTTCAAAAGGACTTCACAAGTATTCATTATAAGACAAATTCTGGATTTTAAGCTAAGTTTAGTCAAGTTTTTAATTTCCTTTTCATTTGAGAATAGCTGGTACAAAATTGCAAAGTTCTAAATTCAGTTGACTTGGTTATCTACAATAGTTCATATACACACAATATATTAGAAAAAATATGAATTAATCACATATTCTTTAAAATAAACTGAAGGCATCATATGGATGATATTTTTTCTTTAATTTAGCTACATACATTGGACCCCATGCTTTCCCCTTCTCTGGGAGAACCAGAAGTTCATGCTGTTGCGTACCACTGAGGAGAGTGAATTCCTGGGAAACAGCTTTGCCCATATCGCTTATATCTACAGGCAGAATATTACTGCATGAGTTTAGAATGAGATTTATTACATCACTGTTTTCTGCCTTTGAGAGAGTGCATGTAGAATAGACCAGTGATCCACCAGGACGCAACGCTTTAACAGCAGACCTGCAAACAATGAAGAAAATATTCAGTGTAGGTGAGATATATGGGGGTAGGCAATAAGACTTTCAATTCCAGATAAACATACAGAAAAAAAAGAACAACTTCATAAAACACTCAACAAAGAATATAATTGACAATTCAGTAAACATATATATGCTTTCTCATTTATTTTTGTATTGTCAGTTCACTGAGGGTATTTTTATAAAAGAATGACATGTAGGAAGCAGAATCCATTCAGAGCTGCAGAATGTGCTTCAAGCACTCATACAGGCTACACCACTGTGAAAATACTGCAGCTGCATATACAAACCAGATGAGAGCACAGCAAAAGTGCTAGTTAGAAAAGCTAAGAGATATTTTCTGCTTGCAGAAAAAAATATCCAAACCTACAGTGACGCTAATAACCTGGTCTAATTACAGGACTGTAATTTTACGAACTTTTCTGCAATATCTGCAACTTAGCAGATAACAGGACTGAGGGCTTGACTGAATCACCACCGCTTTTCTATCTGATTTCTTAAGGAAATATAATTTAGCAGAACATACTGTCTATTTATCTGCCCTTCACCTATTAACCTTTAGGTAAATTTTAACTAAACAAAGGCAAAATAGCAGTTTAAGATTTTAAGTTTCATGAAACTTTCATGATAATTTGGGTCAGAGGTTCTTTTCAGCTCCCCTGCCAAATCTAATTTTAAATAAACTGTTTACTTTCCATTAAAGCAGATCCCCAAGGTCTTTTTCGCAGGGATAAAATGTACTCTGTGAGAGTAAGGAAATGAGATCTGCAATCCATATTCAGTTATTGCAAATTAAAAGAGTAAGGAAAAAAAAAAACCCTCAATTCTTGTATTCGCAGAAGCACATTCCTCACATCTGGTAACACTGCATAACTGAAAGAGGAAGCTGTACTAAAAGTTCATGTTAAAAAAAACGAAATGAAACCCAAATCTCTCTTGTTTAAAAACATTGCGAGTATCTCTTCAGGTGATTGCCGTTGCTCACGCACACTCCAGAGACACCACGGCTAGTGCTCAGGGGACTCTGCAAGTGGGTCACAGAGAATTTTGCCCTTTGCAGAAGGGTAGGTCAAATTCTGGAAGCATGGATTCTTGGAGATGCACAGTCCTGCTGTATGGAAATACACAGAATAATTGTAGACTGGGGGTATTACTGATGCTACTGTACTCACCTCAAAAAATCTACATGGAAAACCTGAAAAGATAGACCACGAAATAATAATAATAAAATAAAAACAGATGGGGATGAGCAGCCTCCAAATACAGTGAATCTGAATTAGACCCTAATTGAAAAAAATAATAACACTGAGACAAGCTGAAAACTGTTGAATGTGGTATCTGAATTAAAACATTTGAGAAAAAAAAAGAAAATAGGGAGAAGACTAGTCCTTTTAACAGAATAGGGCATTTTCAGGAAAAGAATCAATAAAAACACAGAAAGCCTTATCTCAAGCAGGACTGAAGAAACTCTGAAAAAGTTCTGTACAAAATACTAAGAAAACATCAGGACAAATGATTGCTTCAAATAGAGATAATACAATTGTGTTCACCTTCGCAAGTGAGAATTCCTGTGTACTATACTCAATTTTTCTTTTCCTGGCAGTGTACAGATGCCTTTCTCATTTCTTCTATTGATGCTGGTTAGGTTACTCAACAAGGTAAATACATAATTTATTGCATTTTATACTGGCCTAACTTTAGACAGTGAAAGTGAACAGATCTCTCTCAACAGATGCTAAAAAAAAAAATAAATCAGTGGTTAATGTCTTTATTATGTCAGTCTTCACTAAAAAGATGGAGAGTGAGCAGATGGCTAGCACATTTAGCATAAGTGAGAGAGCAGCTCAAGTTCAACCACTTACAGGTAAAGAACAGGTTACACAGTACTTAGGTGGCCTGAATATTTTCAATTTAGCTGAGCTTAATGAACATCGTTCTAGGATACTTCCAAAACTAGCTAAAGCTATCCCAAAACTGCAAGCTCATCTTGGGCCTCCAAGTTCTGAGAATCTATAAAAAAAAAATTAAGAATGTTTTAGAAAAGTGTTGGTAAGAGATTATATATATCATGCCAGCTTGAAATAGTAAAACAGAGCAGATGTCCTCCTGATGACCCTTCCAGATTTACTTTTCCAAAATTCTGCAAATATCTGCAAATATATATTTGAATCACTGCACTCTGAGTAGATTTTCAGTGTGTTCCTCCTACCCCTCCAATACATGTATACTCCTTAGGCGGACACCAATATCAGTCTCTAAGTTGTCTCTGATGTCTCTCCACCTGTTGTTCGTCTTTGTTCAGCTCTCACTACAGCTGTCCATTTCAAATAGCAGTATTTATATTGCTTCTGTCTGGTCTGTGTGACCAATCAAAACGTGACCAGATATATTTGGTAAGCAGAACAGGTTTGTATTTTTGACAAGGTACTTGCAAGAGGTTCAGTAAGTTCAATAGTGCTCTGTTTTATGACAAATCACTGAATCACAGAATGGCTGGGGTTAGAAGAAACTTCCAAAGATAACCTAGCCCAACCTCTCTGCCTAAGCAGGGTTCACCTAGAGCACGTGGCACAGGGTCACATCCAGGCGAGTTTTGAGTATCTGCAGAGGAGACTGCACTGCTTCTCTGGGCAGCCTGTTCCAGTGCTCTGCCACCCTCACAGGCAAGAGTTTTTCCTCATGTTCAGACAGAACTCCCCGTGCTTCAGTTTGTGCCCACTGCCTCTAGTCCTGTCATTACACACCACTGAAAAGAGTCTGGCCCCATCCTCTTGACATCCTCCCTTCAGATATTCATATGTATTTATAAGATCTCCTTGCAGTCTTCTCTTCTCTAGGCTAAACAGTACCAGCTTTCTCAACCTTTCTTCATATGAGAGATGCTCCAGTACCCTAATCATCTTCATAGCCCTCCGATGAACTTTCTTCAGTAACTCCATGTCCCTCTTGTACAGGGGAGCCCAGAACTGCACACAATATTCCAGATGTGGCCTCACCACGACTGAGGAGATGGTGAGGATCGCTTCCCGTGACCTGCTAGCAACTTTCTTTCTAATGTACCCCAGGATACTACAGGCCTTCTTGGCCCCAAGCGCACAGTGCTGCCTCATAGTTAACTTGTTGTCCACCAGGACTCCCTGGGCCTTCTCCACAGAGCTGCACTCCAGCAGGTCAAGCCCCCAATACACGATGCATGTGCTGCTTCACAGGCACTCCAGAGAGGTAATGGAGCATGAAGGTTTCCCAGGAAGGGTGAAAGTGGATCCTTCAAAGTCATGTCCTGTGTGCATGTCCCCAGCTCCATGCACCTGCTACGGCAATCTCAGCTTGAGCTACTTTTGAGCTGACTACATTGTTTTTATAAATGACTCCTTCCCCCATCCTTCCTAGTTTAAAGCTCTCCTTACCAGACTGGCCAACCTGCTGGTGGATTCCATCTCTATCAATTCTCTGTCTTCAAACAGGATCCCATGCTTGTAGAAACCAAAATCCAGTTGTCAATGCCAGTGACACGGCCACTTGTTAACTTGGCAAATTATTCTATTCGGCACTCTTCTCACATCCTTCTCCCTCATCGGCAGGATTGAATGAGGAATGAGAAGAAAATGACCAGGGCTCCTAGACCCCTGACCACTATCCCCTGAGATCTGAAATCCTGTTTGTTGTTTTCTGGTTTGCCCTTGGTAACATTAATGCCCACATGGAAGAGCAGCACAAGGTAAAAGTTTGAAGCGTGGACTCTGGCAGTCTTTCTGTGGCATCTCATATTTGAGCCCCTGTCGGGCAACAAACCCCTCTAGACAAGAGGTCGGATCAGCAGATAGGTGTCTCTGTTCCCTGAAGAGGGGAGTCACCCACAACAATTACTCACTGCTTCTTCAAGGTGTCCCTACAAGGCACAGGGTCTGTCAGTCCAGTCGCTTTCCCTGAAGCCATGCCAGGTCCACCTCAGCTTGGAGGGCGCTAAACCTCTTCCTCAACTGCATGTCTCAGGGGGAGAAGAGCCTTTCCCCTACTATGAGAAGGGAATAATTTCTAGAGGTTTCTTCTACAAGGTTATAATGTGCCACTTAGCATGACACAGAGCACTGTGACATCTCTATTGCTGTGGGAGGTTGGGACTCCTGGAGCTGTATGCTCTACAGGGATATCCTGTCTATCTCTTCTTTATCATCTGGGATGCTCTGCAGCCTTCTGAAGGAGAGCTGACTGACACCCCAGGACCACGGAGAGGTCCCAAGCACTCTCTGCAGCCTGAGACCTCTAGAGCTGTGTCTGCTGCCAGAGGGTCTCTATGCGAGTAGAAGTCTCCGACACAGCTGATGCAGCAGCTCCAAAAGCTACGGGGGTGTGTGCCCTGTGGCGTGACGACCATGCCTGAGGAAGCAGACACTACTAGGACTGGAAATGAAGGTGCCTTCTTGCGCCCTTCTGTGCAAACTGCTGCACAAACTGCTGCATCTGTTCACTGCATCTGTTAGCTGCACTCTCAAGTAGGAGAAGTTTTAAAAAGCCCCTTTTGACTACCTGCTTCCTTTGTTTGCATTCTAGCATTTTTAAACTATCTTTTTAAAATTTGCTTGTTAAGGCTTAATTTGTAACACCATCTTCTAATCCAGAATATGGAGCAGTAAAGTGTCTCTTAAAATTTTTGACTAATATTGATGCCACAGCAGTAAGTGCTGGGAGAGGATAGCACTGCCCAGTTAAAGTGGGCACTTATGTGTTTCTGTTTTCTATTGAGAAATGGCACAACCATGAAAATTCTGTAGCTCGTTTAAACAACACAAACTAAACAACACAAAGATCATTAAATACCACAATGAGAGTATCCTGAAGCAAGACAACAAAACCACAGCCTGAACTATTTGTCACTGCAGCTCATCAGTAGGCAGTCCTTCATTCAAACACCAAGAGGATTACACACCTGAACACTAACACATAAAGAGAATAACTACTTTTTAACCTTTATAACCCTATCAG